CCTGCTGCAACCAGCACCACAGCAGCCCCCTCCTCCACACCAGAGACCACCCAAACCACACCTGGGCTGACCTCCAGGACAACCTCACCCACTGCCACCACAGGAGCCACGACATCACCCTCAACCACTCAGGCGACCACCCAAACCACACCAGGACAGACCTCTAGGACCACATCACACATGATCACCAGCACCACTGCAGCCCCCTTCTCCATGCCAGAGACCACCCAATCCTCACCAGGGCTGACCTCCAAGAGCACCTCACCCACGACCACCAGCACCACAGCAGCCCCCTCCTCCACGCCAGAGACCACCCAAAGCACACCAGGGTTGACCTCCAGGAAAACCTCACGCACTGCCACCACGGGAGCCACGACTTCCACCTTGACCACTCAGGAGACCACCAAAACCACACCAGGACAGACCTCTAGAACCACATCACACATGACCACCAACATCACTGCAGCCCCCTCCTCCACACCAGAGACCACCCAATCCTCACCAGGGCTGACCTCCAGGAGCACCACACCCACTACCACCAGCACCACAGCAGCCCCCTCCTCCACACCAGAGACCACCCAAACCACACCAGGACTGACCTCCAGGACAACCTCACCCACTGCCACCAGCACCACAGCAGCCCCCTCCACCACCCCAGAGACCACCCAAACCACACCAGGGCTGACCTCCAGGACAACCTCACCCACTGCCACCAGCACCACAGCAGCCCCCTCCACCACCCCAGAGACCACCCAAACCACACCAGGGCTGACCTCCAGGACAACCTCACCCACTGCCACCAGCACCACAGCAGCCCCCTCCACCACCCCAGAGACCACCCAAACCACACCAGGGCTGACCTCCAGGACAACCTCACCCACTGCCACCAGCACCACAGCAGCCCCCTCCACCACCCCAGAGACCACCCAAACCACACCAGGGCTGACCTCCAGGACAACCTCACCCACTGCCACCAGCACCACAGCAGCCCCCTCCACCACCCCAGAGACCACCCAAACCACACCAGGGCTGACCTCCAGGACAACCTCACCCACTGCCACCAGCACCACAGCAGCCCCCTCCACCACCCCAGAGACCACCCAAACCACACCAGGGCTGACCTCCAGGACAACCTCACCCACTGCCACCAGCACCACAGCAGCCCCCTCCACCACCCCAGAGACCACCCAAACCACACCAGGGCTGACCTCCAGGACAACCTCACCCACTGCCACCAGCACCACAGCAGCCCCCTCCACCACCCCAGAGACCACCCAAACCACACCAGGGCTGACCTCCAGGACAACCTCACCCACTGCCACCAGCACCACAGCAGCCCCCTCCACCACCCCAGAGACCACCCAAACCACACCAGGGCTGACCTCCAGGACAACCTCACCCACTGCCACCAGCACCACAGCAGCCCCCTCCACCACCCCAGAGACCACCCAAACCACACCAGGGCTGACCTCCAGGACAACCTCACCCACTGCCACCAGCACCACAGCAGCCCCCTCCACCACCCCAGAGACCACCCAAACCACACCAGGGCTGACCTCCAGGACAACCTCACCCACTGCCACCAGCACCACAGCAGCCCCCTCCACCACCCCAGAGACCACCCAAACCACACCAGGGCTGACCTCCAGGACAACCTCACCCACTGCCACCAGCACCACAGCAGCCCCCTCCACCACCCCAGAGACCACCCAAACCACACCAGGGCTGACCTCCAGGACAACCTCACCCACTGCCACCAGCACCACAGCAGCCCCCTCCACCACCCCAGAGACCACCCAAACCACACCAGGGCTGACCTCCAAGAGCACCTCACCCACGACCACCAGCACCACAGCAGCCCCCTCCTCCACACCAGAGACCACCCAAACCACACCAGTGCTGCACTCCAGGACAACCTCACCGACTGCCACCACAGGAGCGACAACATCCCCCTCGACCACTCAGGAGACCACCCAAACCACAGCAGGGCTGACGTCCAGGACATCACCCACTGCCACCACAGGAGCCATGACATTCCGCTCGACCACCCTGGTGACCACCCAAACAACACCAAGGCTGACCTCCAGGACCACCTCACCTGCTATCACCAGCACCACAGCAGCCCCCTCCTCCACAACAGAGACCACCAAAACCACACCAGGGCTGACCTCAAGGACCTCCTCACCCACTACCACCAACACCACGACATCCCCCTCCTCCAGTCCAGAGACCACCCAAACCTCACCAGTGCTGCACTCCAGGACAACCTCACCCACTACCACCATGGGAGCCACGACATCTCCCTCAACCACTCAGGCGACCACCCATAACACAGCAGTGCTGACCTCCAGGATCACCTCACCCGCCACCACCCGCACCACAGCTGCCACCTCCTCCAGTCCAGAGACCACCCAAACCTCACGAGGGTTGACGTCCAAGACAACCTCACCCACTGCCACCACGAGAGCCACGCCATCCCCCTCGCCCACTCAGGAGACCACACAAACCACACTAGGGCTGCCTTCTAGGACCACATCACCTATGACCACCAGCACCACACCCGCCCCCTCCTCTACGCCGCAGACCACCCAACCCACACCAGGGTTGACCTCCAGGACATCCACACCCACTGCCACCACAGGAGCTACGACATCCCCCTCGACCATTCAGGCGACCACTCAAACCACACCAGGACGGACCTCTAGGACCACATCACCCACGACCACCAGCACCACAGCAGCCACCTCCTCCACGCCAGAGACCACCCAAACCACACCATGGCTGACCTCCAGGACAACCACACCCACTGCCACCACAGTAGCCAAGACATACCCCTCGACCACTCAGGCGACCACCGAAACCACAACAGGGATGACCTCCAGGACCACCTCACCGAATGCCACGACCACAGCAGCCCCCTCCTCCACGCCAGAGACCACCCCAACCTCACCAGGGCTGACCTCCAGGACCACCTCACCCACTACCACCAGTACCACAGCAGCCCCCTCCTCCAGTCCAGAGACCACCCAAACCACACCAGGGCTTACCTCCAGGACCACCTCACCCTCTGCCACCAGCTCCACAGTAAGCTCCACCTCTACCTTAAAGACCACCCAAATCACAGCACGGCAGAGAACCAGAACCCCCTCCCCCGCTACCACCAGAACCACAGCAGCCCCCTCCTCCACGCCAGAGACCACCCCAACCACACCAGGACTGACCTCCAGGACCACCTCACCCGCTACCACCAGCACCACAGCAGCCCCCACCTCCATGCCAGAGACCACCCAAACACCACCAGGGGTAACCTCCAGGACAACCTCAGCCATTGCCACCACAGGAGCCACGACATCCCGCTCTACCACTCAGGTGACCACCCAAACCACACCAGGGCTGACATCCAGGACCACCTCACCTACTACCACCAGCACCACAGTAGCCCCCCCCTCCACGCCAGAGACCACCCAAACCACACCAGGACCGGCCTCCAGGACCACATCACCATCTACCACCAGCACCATGACATCCCTCTCCTCCATGCCAGAGACCACACAAACATCACCAGGGTTGACCTCCAGTACAACCTCACCCACTGCCACCACGGGAGCCCCGACATCCCCCTCGACCACTCAGGAGACCACCCAAACCACACCACAGTTGACCTCCACGACCACCTCACCAGCTACCACCAGTACTACAGAAGCCACCTCCTCCAGTCCAGAAACCACCCAAACCTCACCAGGGTTGACCTCCAGGATCACCTCACCCACTACCACAACAGGAGCCACGACATCCCCCTCGACCATTCAGGCGACCACTCAAACCACACCAGGAAGGACCTCTAGGACCACATCACCCACGACCACCAGCACCATAGCAGCCACCTCCTCCACGCCAGAGACCACCCAAACCACACCACGGCTGACCTCCAGGACAACCACACCCACTGCCACCACGGTAGCCAAGACATACCCCTCGACCACTCAGGCGACCACCCAAACCACAACAGGGATGACCTCCAGGACCACCTCACCTGCTACCACCAGCACCACAGCAGCCCCCTCCTCCAGTCCAGAGACCACCCAAACCACACCAGGGTTGACCTCCAGGACCCCCTCACCCACTGCCACCACAGGAGCCACGACATCCCCCTCGACCACTCAGGCGACCACTCAAACCACGCCACGACGGACCTCTAGGACCACATCACCCACGACCACCAGCACCATAGCAGCCACCTCCTCCATGCCAGAGACCACCCAAACCACACCAGGGGTGACCTCCAGGACAACCTCACCCATTGCCACCACAGGAGCCACGACATCCCC